GTGCTCGTCTCCCAGGTCCTGCCTCCTGCCCCCAGCCTAGCCCTGCCCCTCAAGCAAGAGCCCCCCATCACAGTGCCCGAAGGAGCCCTCCCTGTGACCCCTAGCCCCGCCCTCCCAGAGGGCCACACTCTGGGGCCCACCCACACTCAGCCATTGCCACCTGCTCCTGCTGTCACCTCTGCCACCAGCCTGCCTTTCTCCCCGGACTCCTCTGGCCTGCTGCCCAGCTTCCCAGCACCCCTGCCTGAGGGGCTGATGCTGTCACCTGCAGCTGTGCCAGTCTGGCCAGCAGGGCTGGAACTGAGCACAGGGGTTGAGGGGCTGGGGACACAGGCCACCCACACTGTGCTGAGACTGCCAGACCCTGACCCCCAGGGGCTGCTCCTGGGGGCCCCAGCAGGGACTGAGGTTGAGGAGGGGCTAGAGGCCGAGGCCAAGGTCCTGACACAGCTGCAGTCAGTGCCTGTAGAGGAGCCCTTGGAACTGTGACTGCCTGGACTCGTCACCTCTCCTGACAGTGGTGCTCAAGGATCTAGGACAGGAGGAGCCCTCAGTAAGGTGGCTGCAGTCTGAAGGTCCCACACTACAACCCTAACCCTGAACAAGCTGCAAGCCCTGGAGAAGCCAGAGGAACCGCCCCAGTCAGGGCATATCCTTTTCCTGATGGAAGAAGTCTCTTGTTACAGCCCTTTCTGTGCTCTGCCTGCCCAGTGCACGGGCCACTACGAGTCCTTCTCTACCTGGTCCTAGTTGAGGAAGGCCTTGCCAAGTGGCTGACTTCTAGCTGGTTCCCTCACCATAACACTATTAATAGGCCCACTGATAGCCAGTGTTCCCAGAACTGCCTGAATCCCAGGGATGAGGGACCAGAGTGTGACCCGGAGAGCCCTTCCTGGTGAGGAGGGTTTGATGGGTGCACAGGGCCCTTCCCTACTTCCCTGGACTTGAGCCCCAGGATCCAGCCCCAGACCAAAGATTTCCTGTTCCTTGGGGCAATCCTGGCCCCTTTGTCTAGTTTGTATCGTAAATCTTTATTTTTCTAGGACATGTTATGCCTCCATTTCAATTAAAGTCAAGTTAACAGACAACATTGGGGTAAGGGTCACCTGCCAAACAGCCGGCCCAAGACAACACCAAGCCTAAGGCTGTGGCTGACTTTTTGTTTGGGTTCTTTTTGAGATGGGGGTCATGTTCTATAGTTCACACTGGCCTCAAATCCTACTTCCTGCCTCAGCCTCCTGAATGGTGGAATTATGAACGTGGGTCACCACATCCCAAGACTGGATTTCTGAGGTAAAGGGGTTGAGTTCATACCTGTGGGCTTTCAGAAGCAAAGGGCTTCCGCATTTGATATGTGGAAAGCCCACACAAGGGCCAAGGGATCTGGGACACAGCATTCCTTCTCTCCCTGCTCGTAAAAAGGGTTCCATTTCATTTTAAGACTAATAGAGCAGGGAAGGATGCAACGAAAACAAACAGGGTTGAAACATACGATTCTGGGAGCTCTGCATTTCATCTGGGGCACCCATCCTGTAAGAGCAGGTGGGGAGGGCTGTCTATGTACAAGGCAGAGGACGGAGCCTTGGGTCAGTAAATAACACTTCCTCTCTGGGTCTGGGTGCTGGGCAGGGGACCCTTGGCAGTGCCTACTGAGGCCCAGGGGAAACACTCATTGGGGGGCCTGGGAGCTAAGCAGATGACAGACCCAGCAGGGACTGCCCCTCCCGCTGGCAGTGAGGGGAGGGCAGTGAAGCCAGCCCCAAAGACACTTGGGCCTTCTCAGCCAGCAGCTGGTAGAAGGGCTTAGGGGTCTCCCCATCGTCGTCCTCACTGCTGGAGCTCTCCCGCTTCACAATGCGGTTGTGCTGGCGGCTGAACCTGCGTGCCTTAGTGCTGGGGACAGACGGAAGTTCCTTACCCTTGGCTCCTAGCTTCTCCGACTAGTGCTGTGGTCCCGGGGGGCCAGTCTCTCTTTGGGGCTCCAGGTTCTGATATCTAAGTTGGACCCTGCTGGGTGCTCTTCACAGACGTGAAGATTTGGGATAGTTTGGAAATGGGCAAGGGGGAGCCCTTGAGGGTGGTGGAGGGGACAGAACTGGGAAAGGGTGACTAAGACGAGAGAGAGAAGAGGCCAAGTGACAGGGAAATAACTGAGATGCTCTATGTGGCAAAGCAGAAATGGAGGCAGCAGGTCTAAGGCCCAGCAAAGCTCATCACAGCTGACACTCTATCACCTCGCAGGTCATAAATAAAACTTGGGACCCAGGGGCCAGAGATACTCGGTGAATAAGCACTTGCTCTGGGCCGTGAGTTTGAGTCACCAGTGCCCACATAAAGAGCTGAATCTGGCTGTGTGTACCTGTCTCAAAGCTCTAGGAGCAGAGCAGGGACAGGCAGATCCCAAGTGCTTGCTGTCCAGCCATCTTGGCTGAAAAGGCCAGTTCCCCATTCCACGGGAGACACTTGCCTCAAGACAACAAGGCAAAAGCAAGAGAGAGACACCTGGTGTCCTCCTGTCCTGGCCTCTGCATGCACTTACATGTACGCACATACCACACACGCATGTGCGGGCACCACATACACACAAAGAAAAGGAATTTGTGTTTCACAAGTCCTCAGCCCAGCAAAGCCCAACCAAACATGTTAGTAAAGTCACGAGGCTGTAAGTGAGGGATGGGGTCACAGGTTGGGGCCCATGGTTCCATCCCCCCACGCCCTCTGGAAGGCACTTCTTACCAGTATGGTCTCCTTTCCTCCAGAGTCATCCCTCGCCACAGTTGAGCCAGCTCCTTGGTGGCAGCTGTGGAGGCAGTCCCAGGACAGGCTCTGGGACAGGAAGGAGCAGGTCACAATGGCTAGTACATCATGGTCCTCGGCTATCTTTGGTTTCCCACCAGCCTTCCAGTGCCCCATTTACACCCTCTAGAGACACAGATGTCCCCCAAAGCATAAATGACCTGTAGTCACCACTTCACAGGCTCTCCCCACCACCCACGAACCCGTTCTTCCAGCGAAGGCAATGGCTCTTCTTGCTGTTGCTCAGCCAACAGTGACAGGTCCAGGGCTGGCACCTGATCTAAGTCAACCCCAAGGGCGTTTAGAGATGAAACTTCTAGGGCATCCAGCAGGACTGAGCCTGAACCTCCTGAGGACAACCTGCTGCCAATGTGGCCCAGCATGCTGGAGATGACAGCTCAGGAGAAAGGGACAGGACTGATTCAGCCCAGAACCAACTGGAGGCAGTTTTCTTGATGGTGACAGAAGCCAATTAATTTCCTTTTCTCTGATGTCTAGTTTGAGCTTGGGTCTGTTGCACAGGATGGGAAGGCAAAGCAGTAGGGCACATGGTCTGGGGGTACACATGGGAATGGTAACCGCTTTTTACTTTAAAGACCCGGGTGCCCTTACCCACCGGATGTACTGCTTCCGGTTCATTCTGCAGAACATGATGAAGCCATTGACACACTTTTTCTTCGCCTGGCCAGGGCAGGCTTTTCTGTTGTCCTTGGGCTTCACAGAGCCCTGGCTTGCCTGGACCTTCTTGGTCTTTTTGCCAGCTGCCAGCAGGCCAGAAGACTGTCGGGTAGGAGTCCATGTGTAGTCTCTGTCCTCATCACTGGGGGTCTGCAAGCCCACAGGGTTGGCCTGCTGCAGGACAGAAGGCTGAGCAAGGAAGAAGACCCCTGTCCTCCCTGGGTAGATGGCCACCCCTCTCACCTCCTGTTCCCACAAAGACTCCGTGTCTGTGGACTCGGAACTGGAGCTGCTGCTGGACAGCACCTTGATGTTCTCATGCTGTGACAGGTAGCAGTGGTCCAGTGAGACTGAGGACTGGAAGTTAGGTGGGGCTGTAGGGCCCTCAGAGGGTGTGTCCTGGACCAGATGAGGAAGACACTCACTGACTACAGTGTATGCAGGGCCTTGGAAACAGCACAGGTTAGACACCCTTGCCTGTCTCCACACCCCTGGAAACTCAGGAACCTTGATTCAAAGGTCCCAATCAGGGGCCTCGTGGCATCAATACACACACGAGGAACTTGGACTAGAACAGGAACACAGGTGTCTCAGCTGGAGGACACAGGTGCCCCTTCCCACATGGGTAGCCTTAGCACCAGTCCCTGCTGACTGGTTCTCCCTCCCTTCTGCTCCCTCCTGTGGCTGACCTGGAGGCAAAGATAAAACCAGATGACACCAACGGAGCTTTTCTGCATGAGCTCTATGCACCATGAGGCCTGTAATGTGACTACCCACTGGAGTAAAACTCCATGCTCAGAGAATTGAGACTTATTTGACTAGATAAATTGGTATACTCCTGTAATCCAAGCTCTCGGCAGGCTATGGCAGGAGGATTGATTTTGAGGCCAGTCTGGGATCCAAGAGAACCTGTGTCAAATGCACAGACACATTAAACATGCATACACTAAGCACCATGGTTCTGCTTGGGGAGTAGCTGTGGTCTTAGGCAGGCCTTTCCCAGGCCCCTCACAGGCAGAGGTAAGGACAAACTTGGTAAGTCTCAGAAGGATGGAGGTGTGGTATGCTCTGTGAGGGGGTCAAGCCAGGAAGATGGAGCTTACCTTCTCTTGGAGGCCCTCCAGTTCACAGGCAGCAGGCGAAGACTCCAAGAGACCTGTGAGCAGAGGACTGGCAGGACTAGGCACCTTCCTCACAGCACCCTGCCTGGTCCCAATCCTCTTCTCTGATTCTCTCCCCTTTGGGATTTCCTAACTTATGTCCAGGTCTCACTCACAGGCCAGCTGTGAGTGTGGCAGCTTTCTGGAACCTTCCCTTCACTACATGACCTAGTGGCCCCTATGCTGGGAGGAATTATGGGCCCTTCAAGGCCCTCTGGGCATCCATTGGGCCCAGCTCAGGCCCAAGTACTTGGTGGGTGGGTGTTCCCATGTTTTATGAATAAACGAAGCTCCTCCCACTTTGGCAGCCCACCTTCAGTCAAACAGTAGTTGCCATCCTCCAGGACATGATCTGGCAGGGTTTTGCTTGGGGAGCTGAAGAGGGAAGAGCTGAGTCCTAAGATCTCACTCAGGTAGTTCGTCACATGCCAGTTACTGATCTGGGAAGACCCCGAGGCCAGTGGGCTCCCTGAAAGGATCATGGCACTCAGGAGTGTGGTCAACCCCAGTGCAGTAGCAGGCTTTGAAGGGATAATGTCAGACACTGGGAGAAAGAACACTGACATTCAGAGTCGTGGTGGTATAGGACATTGCCTGGCAATACATCAACAAAAATGAGATCATCATTACGGTGTGCCAGAGACAGCAGACTTCTGTGTTCAAAAGGTTCTGTAGTGGCTGGCTCATGAAAACAGGGAATGATTAGCAATATCTGGCATAGCAATCGGGGCAAAGTGATGATAGGCAGAGAATGTTTGCCACCCCTGTGTTTAGCAGATCCCCAACCTTCCTGCTTTTCTCCACCATAGAAACCCTTTGGAGAGGAAGGCTCAGAAGGCTCACAGCCTACAAGAAGAGTTGTAATCACCATTGGGGCTGTCCTCTGAGGTCCACGCAGGAAGCCAGGGGTCAATGTCTGAAGCTTCTTTGTCTCTCTCACTGGAAGTGCACAAGAATAGCTTCTGCCTGTGAGAGTTGGAGTTAGAGGAAGACACAGCACTGGGCTGAGCTCAGCTGAGACTTATGGCACTCACATGGCCAACTCTATACAACCCCAGGGAACATAATCAGCTGGGGCTTCTACCCTCAAGGAGCTTCAAAGTCTTGTGAGGAAAAATGAGCTGGCAAGCAGATGCTGACAACAGAGGGGACCCTGTGGTGGAGTGTTCCAGAAGACCAAAGGGCACATAGGAGAGGGTGGTTTCCCAGGTAAATCAGAGGCAGATGCTCCAAGTAGAGCCCCAAGCTCAGAGCAGGTAGTGTGGGGACCGGAGGACATTTGTGCTGTTCAGTGGAAGGTTGGTGGTAAAGGCAAGAGAAGGCCGACATGGCCAGATGGGTCACATTCTCCAATGCCAAAGAAGAGGTTTGGGCTCTACCTCAGGTCAGCCTCACTGATACAGTCAAGGTCTGTAATAGAGAAGCACTTGATGGTTGAGAACAGGCTGGGATGGGCAGAAAGGCAAGGAAGATCAACGGGTGACAATCCAGACCTTCATGGGAGCCTGCACCAGCCAGCATGCAGCTGGGCCCAGGTTGCCATTCAGGGAGCTCTGAGGGCAGAGAATGCAAAGCCATTCCTCATACTCCATAGACACCTCATTTACAGCCACTGACACCCTGGGGTTTCCTTACCTGAGACAGGGCTGTGCCCTGGTGAGGAGATAGGACCTCTGAACCCTGCTCTGAGCCTTGACGTCAATGTCAGGCTCACCATCCTGAGCCCCTGCACCATGATCACCTGGAGGAGGGGTGTCAAAATAAGGTGACTATGACTGTATATGGGCCAGATTCCAGGGCCCCAAGACAGGGGGAAGGATAGGAACCAGAATCTGCCACCAGCCTTCCTCCTCCCATACCCAAACCAGAACCTTAGGCTGTGGTGCCCAAGTCACTGCAGCACTGATTCACACCTCTATCAGAAACTGCACTGGAGATCATATCCTTAACATGGACAAAAAATGTCATGACAACAGTGATGGCACACAAATGCAGCTGGCCCTGTCCCACCCCTGCAAGTCTTTTACTGATGTACAATGCATTGACCAATAGGTTAGCCCAGTCACTGCTATGTGAATGGCATGTCCAGCCAAGCCATATAGCTAGCAGGAAGGGATGCTTCCTCTGAGACCAGGACATTCTAGCACCCCAGCAAGTCTGGGTGGCCTGGGAAACATGGGGAATTCCATCACTGGACTGAGAATTTGGTCACTACTGTGTCACAAGCACCAAGTTAATGATAGGGGAGCATGATGGAGAACTGGGTACTCTGCAGCCTCGGAGCTAGTGAAAGGCCAAGGCTAGCATTCCTGTCTGCTCTCCTGTCCTTTTTAGGTGTTTCCACCTCTTCTCCCCTCTGGTACAGGCACAGTCTGGCTTCTTCAGAGAAGCCCAGTAGGCACACGTTCCTCCATCCCCAGATTTGAGACTTGAAGCTCACATACAGGATGACCCTGATCTTGTCTCTCCCTCACAGAGCCCTACACAAGAAAGGAAAGCTACGGGTGAATGTCCCAGGATGAGAGAGGCAGTGTCATCCCATTCGGTGATTTATGCCTTGTTGCTAGGACTGTCCAGGGCAAAATCTGTGAAAGAGCAGACAAACGCACACAAACATGTACACACAGTGGGGACAGACGAGGAACACACGCAGATAAAATAGTAAGTTCCTGCTGAGGAAAGGCACCAACTTGTCATGTCATAGGCAACAATGTTCTGAGCCATGTCCAGGAACACCAGCTGGGCCCCTCCTCCATCATCTTCCGACAGGGACAGTGCAGTTGTGGGGTGGGTGCCAGGGCTGAGGTCTCTTGGGTAGGTAGCACCTTCCCCGTTCTCTTCCTTCTGACCTGGATGTGCAGTGGCCAGATTTTCAGGCTGGTCCAGAGCCAGAGAGCGGCGAGGCTTCTGAGGCCAGGTTGGGCGCTCTGAGAGAACAGAGACCAATCAGGGGGCTTTGTGGGGACACATGGATGCCTCAGAATTTGGCTCAGGGAGGGAACTCTTCTGCTCTGAGTTGTCACATTCCAGAGCATTGACTGGCCTGGCCACTCACCAGCACCCCAGGTGTGCCCAGCTCCTCCAATGGAGCTCACTGAGCCAACTTGTGAGCTCTAAGAGCAGAAGGCACAGGTGATGTGGCACCCCGTACCAGGCCAAAGACACCAGCGCTCTGGGTGTGTGGCACCCCACACCAGGCCAATGACACCAGAGTTCTGGGTGTGTGGCACCCCACACCAGGCCAATGACACCAGCGCTCTGGGTGTGTGGCACACACTTGGCAATGACACCAGCGCTCTGGGTGTGTGGCACCCCACACCAGGCCAATGACACCAGAGTTCTGGGTGTGTGGCACCCCACACCAGGCCAATGACACCAGCGCTTTGGGTGTGTGGCACACACTTAGCAATGACACCAGCGCTCTGGGTGTGTGGCACCCCACACCAGGCCAATGACACCAGCGCTCTGGGTGTGTGGCACACACTTAGCAAGTTTCTAAGCACTTCCCACACGCAGCTCCTGTTGGAGTGTCTTGTCCCCCATCATGCAGCCATGACTGAAACAAGTGATTAGGTAGTGATTAGGCCAGAGTCCCACTTCACAGGCTTTTGATGCTGAGGTCAAGGGGTTGGGGAGTGAGGGTGTGGGGAGCTGGGCTAGAGCCAGGACTCTTGGCCTCTACACTTGCATCTTCCTACCCTCCCACCTCTCCTATGCCCTAGGTCAAGGACAGTAAATGATGACAGCAGCACCTTCCTTGGGCCTCGCAGAGCTTCTGATACGAGCACTGCTTGGCAGTGTCTACTCAGGCTTTTCTGTAATCTTGAGAGGGCCTGAACTAGTGCCTGTCCCAATGAGGAAGAAATAAAGGCTCAGAGGAGAGCATGCCACCCCAGGCCTCAGAGCCCCCTAGGAAGCCTGGGAGTGGACTCAGGCATAGACAGGAGGGCCTAGCCTAGTGTGCCCCTATAAGAGGAACCTACTCCACAACAGCAGCTCCCTGTCCTGCCTCCAGAGACTACATGTACCTGACACTCGGGTGAACTTCTTCTTTCGGGGTCTCGAGCAGGAGCCCCAAAGGCATGACTTCTGAGAGCTGGAGGGGGTGGAGTGTCTCCGCCGGGTTGGGCCAGTAGATGGGTTCCGACCCAGTCCTGGGAGTGGAGAAGGGAGCAGATCAGAGCCCACTCTCCATCCTGCACACTCTTCTCCTCCCAGACAAGGCTCTCCAACCCTGGGGGTGGGAAGGTTTTCAGGCAGACTTTACAAACAAGGAAACTGAGGTCTATGGCTGCACAGCCAAGAGGTCAAAGGACAAGGCAGGAAGGCATAGGAAATAAATGTGACATCCCAGCACTTAGGAGGCTGAGGCAGAGGGTTACCGCAAGTTTGAGGCCAATCTGGGCTATACAGCAATATTCTGTCTCAAAAACACAACAAGACAAACAAAACAACAACAGAAAACAAAGAAAAATAAAAACAAAAGCAAACTAATCTGAGCAGGATGTTCCCTGGTCCAATCTGCTAAGACTGCTCATCTCTTCCCTCTCTGCTCTGGCCTCTGTGCGCCTGGTCTCTTTCTCCTTCCTGCCTGAGTGCTTCTCAGCAGGGCTAGGTAGCTGTGTGCTGCCCCCACCATGCTGTTCCTTTGTGTTAACACAACTGATTCCCATAGCACACACAGGAGGGAAGTGCTGCTGGGCTCCCAATTTACAGATTGTATGGCTGAAGCTCAGAGAGGCTATGGTCACAGCAGAGTCTGAATCACCATCGGGCTTGGAAAGGGCGCACATCAACCCGCTCAGTGCTACATCTCCCCCATTCACATCTGCTGCCTGTCCCAAACATTCTCTGTTTCCTCAGGCTCTTGGGCAAAGTGGTTCTGCAGTTTGGCAGGCTTCCCTTGTGCTGTCCTTGAAGATCAAGCTCTTAGGCTTCCTCCTCCAAACTCCAAAACACAGTGACCACATTTTGTTTTGTTTCCTTGAGACCAGGTCTTGCTCTGTAGGTTAGGCTAGGCTGGCACTCACTGTATAGCCTAGGCTGGCCTCTGGGTGCTGGAGTAACAGGTGTGAGCCATCTCATCTGGCTCTCCTACAGCACCTGGATTACCTCTCAGACGTAGTCATCTTCCCCAGCAAGGGGAAGATGGCCAATTGGTTTCCCTGACATCCAGGAAAATATGTGGTACATTGTGGTATATTGCTGCATTGGAAGTGGAACTGCTTACCCACAAATCCCCCTTTGCTATTGCTGCCGTGGAGCTTGAGCACAGCCTTGGCCACATCAATGCTTCTCTGGAGGTACTGGATGTAGTGCAGGACACGCAGCAGAATCTCCTTCTGCACAGAGACAGGGTGGAGAGAGCGGCATGCTGCCCACCTGTCCTCTCGGCTCCACAAGAGGCAGAGGAAGCGAGATCATGATTTGGAAGCCAGCTTAGGATGCACTCTGTAAGACCCTGACTTGTGTGAGGGTCAGGCCCTGGACAGTATGAGACTTCTGGGGAACAGACAGGAAGTACCTCACAGCTTCCTCTGCACACATACACCAGCAGCCTTATTGGCAGAGCTTCACCCATTCTGCTGTCTTGCTCCTAGCTTGTCCTGGAGAGGCAGCTGAAGATGAAGGGGTTTGGAAACCTAAGGAGGCAGAGCTGGAATCTGAGCAAGGCAGCCTGCCTCCTGATCCAGTTATTGGCAAATCCTGCTCAGCTTCTGGCCCCAGGTGGGACTTTGGTTCATATTCAGTCCCCTATTGGTCTTCTTTTCCCTCTTCTCTCCACAGGCCCTCTCACTGCCTGATCCCCTCTGAACCCCACACAGTCCCCTTCCCTTGTGACCATCTTGTCCAGGCTGGGTCAGCTTTCCACATCCCAGCCTGGACTTCTCTCCACCTCCACATCAGCCACACTGCTTTCTGTTATCTGTTGCCATGTTCTTCTCTCCCTTTGACCTTGAGCTAGCTGAGGCAAGACATTAGCTAACTTATTTCTGTATTCCAAAGGCAGAGAATGGAGAGGTAGCTCAGCCAGGGGCTTTTAAAGAAGTAGAGTTCTCACAGCACCCAGCAGGGTGCTTCTGGCCAGCAGGCAGACACTGCCTGCTCCACCACTGCCACTAAATACCTGCTGAGCTGCTACAGGAGATACAAAACTGAAAACCAATACAAAATCATTTCAAATTATCAGCCAGACATGCTAGAACACTCCTGTAATCCCAGTACTTAGGAGGTTGAGGCAGGAGGATTGCAAATTCCAGGACAATACAGGCTACATAGCAAGACTCCATAGAAAGAGACAGAGACAGAGAGACAAGAAAAGGACTGAGAGAGAGAGCGAGAACCCTCCTGTTACCCTCCCAGATAAACACACACACAGAATTTTAAAAAGGCCTTAGTCAATGCTTGAAGGAGATTACCTTCAAGGGGGTCTCAAGGGATTGAAAGAGAAAAGAGTGCACCTGGGAGGCAGATCTCTTGAGTTTGAGGCCAGCTGGTCTACAGAGCAAGTAGACCAGGATGGCCTCAAACTCACAGAGATCCGCCTGCCTCCACCTCCCAAGTGCTGGGATTAAAGGCATTCGCCACCGCCGCCAGGCCTATTTTATTTTTAAACAGGACCTCACTATATAGCTCTAGCTGTCTATGTAGACCAGGCTAGCCTTGAGCTCACAGAGATCCACCTGCCTCTGCCTTTGAGTGCTGGGATTAAAGGTGTGAACCACCATGCCCAGCCTTCTTCATGAATTTCTTAAACCAAAGGGTGAGCATATCCAGGGGCTCTATAGAGAGTTGGTTCAGCAGTTAAGATCATCTGCTGCTCTTGCAGAGGACATGGGTTTGGTTCCCAACACTGTCATGGGAGGCTCACAACTCCCTGTAACTCTTATTCCAGGTGACCTGACACCCTCTTCCAACCTTCACACACATTAGGCATATATACATGGTACACATACATGCATCCAGGCAAAACATTCATAAATATAAAATAGAATAAATAGACATAAGAAACTTTTTTAAGTGAGCATGCTGCCAGGTATGGAGGCTCACACCTTTAATCCCAGCACTCAGAAGGCAGAGGCAGGCAGATCTCTGAGTTCGAGGCCAGCCTGGTCTACACAGCCAAGTCCAGGACAGTAAGGGCTATACAACACCCCAACCCACAAAAAGTGAACATGTTCATACATTTCTCACAGCCTTGCAAGGTGTGGTGGCACAGGCCTATAATCACAACACCAGAAGCTGAGGATTGCCATTAGTTTGAGACCACTCTGGGCTATAAAGCAAGTACCAAGCCAAGCATGACTATGTAGTAAGTCTCTGTCTCAAAGTGAAAAAAGAAGGTAGGTCTGTGAGATGGCTTAGCAGACACTAAGTCTGACATCCTGTGTTCTCAATCCTTAGAGCCCACATGAGAGAACTGACTCTCTCAATTTGTCCTCTGACTTTACAATTGTGTCATGACATTTGCAACAAATAATTTAAAACTTTGGTTTTTAAAGAAGGAGGCATATTTAAAATACTCAACATTTGAGGTCTGATTCCAGGAATTCACAGTAAGTTGGGAGCAACAGTTATCAGTCATTATTTGCTCTAGGCTGGATGCTAGAAAGTCATTCTTTGTAGCCCTTGCCCTGGAAGAACTCTCCACCCAAAGGGTGTCAGAAATGAGGAAACAGGGCTAGCAAGATAGCTCAGTGGTGAAGGTGCTTGTCACTGTGGCTCATGCCCCACTTCCAGGAAATAACTAAACGTGTGTGTGCATGCATGTATGTGTATACATATGCGTGCGTGTGTGTGTGTGTGTGTGTGTGTGTGTGTGTGTGTGTGTACAGTTTTTAAAATGAGGGAGCAATCACTGTGATAAGGACTTTGGTGGTCAGATGGAAAAGCTACAGGTTCATGCAGGACAGGAGGCAATCAATTAGCCAGAGTGGTGTGGATGGATACCTAAGACACAAGGAAGCCATTCCTAACAGCACATTCATGGCCACACATTAGGTGGACGACTTCCTCCAGTAAGATGGGCTGACCCCAGAGCCTGGGCACTGATTGAAAAGCAGAGTGTATGTTGGCCAGGAGGGAACCCAGAGAGAGTGTGGAGGGGGCAAGAGTCCTGAGCATGGGAGAGCATACATGGTAGAGAAGTCAGCTGAATGGACTGGTGAGGGTAAATAAATGACTCAGAGGATGAAAGTACTCACTGTACAGACCTGATGACCTGAGCTCCATCCCCAGATCCCTCTGTGGAGGACAGAACTGACTCCCCAAAATTGTCCTCTGACCTCTAAACATGCCAAGACATGTGTGCCTCCCCTTTCTCTCACACACATACATTAGTATTTTTTTAAAGAGAGAGAAGTAAACCAGGCAGTGGTGGCGAACACCTTTAATCCCAGAACTCAGGAGGCAGAGGCAAGTGAATCTCTGAGTTCGAGGCCAGCCTGATCTACAGAGTGAATTCCAGGTCAGCCAGGACTATCCAGAAAAACCCTATTTTTTTTAAAGATTTATTTCTTTATTATGTATACAACATTCTGCTTCCATGTCTATCTGCACACCAGAAGAGGGCACCATGTGGTTGCTGGGAATTGATATCAGGACCTCTGGAAGAACAGTCGGAGCTCTTAACCTCTGAGCCATCTCTCCAGCCCCAGAAAAACCCTATCTTGAAAAACCAAAACCAGAGAAAAGTAGAAGGAAACTAGGCCTGATGACACAGACCCATAATCCTAGCCACTCAGTAGGTAGAGGTAAAGGATTCCAAGTTGAGGCCAGCCAAGACTACAAAGTGAGTTCAAGGCCACTGGTAGCTTAGTGAGACCCTATCTCAGGAATAAGTATAGTTCAGTGAAGAGTATTTATCTACTATGCACAAGGCCCTGGGTTCAATGCTCAGTACCACAAATACATTAATTATTTAAAAAGAAAAAGGTGGGGAACTAGAGCTAGAGAGTTGGGTCATCAGATAATAATAGCTCTAGCTGATCTTCTGGAGGACCCAGATTCTATTCCAAGCACCCAAGGGTGGCTCACAACCACTTCCAGGGGATCCAATACCCTCTTCTGTTTTAATCACACGTTCAGGGAAAACACCCATGAACATAAAAAAAATAAAAAATAACTTAAAGATTAAAAAAAAAAAAAGCAGACAGCCCTAGAGATAATTCCAAAGGAGGTAGACATCTTGTCAGTCATAGAATGTTAGACTCATTCCTTGAGGGCAGGAACTGTGTCTGTCTCATCCATGGCTTCCCACAATCTTGTGACAGTACCTATACACACCAAATATGCAAATGCTTGAGGACACAGGAAAATTCCCCCATAGTCACATCCCAGTCCCAAAGGTAGCCACATCCTAGTCCCATGCCTGTGAATAGGCTGCCTTATAGAGCAAGGAGACTTACAGATGTCACTGAGTTAAGGATCTGGAGATGGAGAGATTTCTTAAGATTACCCACATGAGCCCAATGCAGTCATGAGGATCTTTGTAAGAGGGAGGCAGGTGGGTCAATGGTGAGGAGACTATTTAAGAACAGAGGTGCCCTGAAAAGACTTTGTTGATGGTTTGCAGGGGGTATAAGGCCTTTCCAAGTTGCCAAAGGAAAAGATAATGAACTTTCCCCTGAGTCTCTCTCTTTGAATTCAGGGCCTTATGTGTTCAAGGCCAGCCTCTACCACTGCACTACCTCCCCAGGCCTCTGTTTACATTTGTGTTTTGAAATGAGGGCTCACTAAGCTGCCCATGCTGTTTTGAACTCACTCTGTAGCCCAGACAGACCTTCTTGATCTTGCAATTCTTCTGCCTTAGCCTCCCATGTGCTAGAATGAAAGGCATGTAACACGGGGCCACAGTTTATCTTCCCTCTGTACTTCACCCCGACCCCCACCCCCACCCAGGGATGAAATCTAGAACCTTGCACATGATAGGCAAGAGCTCTGTCGATAAACTACAGGCCAAGACATTATTTTTGTCTTGCAGTATTGCTTAGGAATCAAAGTTATCTTTCCTCTTTTTTTTTTTTTTTTTTTTTTGAGACAGGGTTTCTCTGTGTAGCCCTAGACGTCCTGGATTTCACTCTGGAGACCAGGCTTGTGGCCTCTTACTCACAGAGATTGCCTGCCTCTGCCTCCTGAGGGCTGGAATTAAAATCGTGGGACACCAGGCCAGGCTTACTCTTTCCTTTCAACCAAGAACCTGGTGCTGAGAGAGACTGAGGAGTCTCAGGCAGCAGCTGTGAGGCTGGAGGGCTCCTGCTCTGCTGTGTGACCTCTGCCTCCACTTTTCCACTCCCAGCTCCCTTTGCCTCTTTCTCTTGTGTATATGTGCATGTTCATGTGGGTGCCAGTGTGCACATGTATGTAGGGGTCAGAGATCATCTTCAGTGTCATTCCTCAGGGGCTGGCCACCGTGGGGTTTTGATATTCTCTCTGCCATTTTATTTATTTGGATGAGGGTTTGTCAGTCTTATTGGTTTCCTCAAAGAACCAAGTCCTTGCTTCCTGGCTCTTTGTATTATTATTTTTTGTTTGTTTCTATTTTATTGATTTCAGCCCTGAGTTTGATTATGTCTTACTGTCTGTTCCTTTTGGGTGTGGTTCCTCTTTCTTCCTTCCTCCCTCCCTCCCTCCCTCCCTCCCTCTCTCTGATTGGCTGACCAATGCACTCATGCACAAAGACACCTCAATACACACAGCTTTCTGTGGGCTCTGGGACTGGGCTCAAGTTCTCATGCTTGAGTAACAGTGCTGACTGAGCTGTCTCCAGCTCCTGCTCCACCCCCACCCCCACCTCTTATCCTAAAATAATCCCACAGGGCTAGGGGTATAGCTCAGTGGTACCATACCTGTTGACTGGGTGAGGAACTGGCTTCTAAAGAAAAGAATCCTCAGTGGGATCATGAACTCAGAGAAAGACCACATCCATCACTGAGAGGGCCTGCATCGATTTCCCATGAGGGGCCCCCACTTACTGCTCTGGACACCCTTCCTCCCACCTGCCTCCTCTCCTTCAGTCCCCACACCTTGGTGTGCTTCTTGTTTCTGGTCTTCATGGTCACAGGGATCAGCGAGGCCAGCTCTCGAAGCTTGTTTGTGTGGTTCTTCTTATCCTTCCTGTTTGGGGATGAGAGTCAATTTTGATTAAACATAGCTTTTGGAGACAAGGTGATGTGATCATCTTGCCTTAGTCTCTCGAGTGCAACACGACAGGCATGAGTCACCACATATAGCTTAAAAGGGTTGCTACTGCCCCAAACCTTCAGTCCCATGTCAAGGCTATCTGTCTTCTACCTCCACTCTGGGACACCCAAGACAGAGTCTCAGGCATCATCAGAATGTATTCTTTTCCTTTATCCCTTAGGCAAATAGGTTCCCAAATCTTGCCTACCCCCCACCCGCTTGTTAAACCCCTAATCTTTGCAGGTTCATCTTCATATCCTCATCTGGCCTCCTGCGTCTATGGTTTCTGAGGCAGCAGGAGCTTTTCTAAACACAAATTTGACTGTCACCTCCTGGCTAAGGAGCAATCTGGGTTTTTTTTTTTTTTTTTTTTTTTTTTTTTTTTGAGATAGGGTCTTGCTATGCAGCCCAGGAAAGACTCAAACTCAGCAGTCCCCCTGCTTTAGTCTCCCAAGTATTGGGATTACAAGTGTGCACTACAAGCCCCTGTGTGACTCACAGGACCCTTTCCTTTCTGGCCCAGCTGGCCTCTCTGGTCTTAGCGTTCCTTTGACTCTTTCATGCTGTCTGACGCATTGCACAGGGTGGGTGAGCTCAATGTCCCTGCAGCCCATTACTATCACTGTGTCCCTGGCACAGGCACTGGGCTCTGGCACTCTGGAAACTCAGTGTGCATTTGCTAAAGGCAACTTCCAGAGCCTAATCCCCAATTGCATAATTCATGAGGTACCCTCAGTAGCATACACACACACACACACACACACACACACACACACACACACACACACACACACACACTCACAGGGGGAGCCATAAAGATGAGGGCTTGCTCTCCCAAATTACACACCACCTCACTGCTCACGGGTGTGCTCCTGTGGGTGCTCTAGCACCTGTCACCAGTTCTCCTCACACCTTCCTCTTGTACCCTGCTCCCCACAAATGGCTGTACCCTGTCCACAACAAAACAACCCTTCAGTTACAGGTGTAGGTTTAGCTCCAATTGGCAGTGATGTTGCTCCCCCCAGGTTTGGTGCTGAGCCTCACATGGAGAGGGAGAGTTTCTCTAGGCCCTTTCTGTGAGGAGACCAGGCTCTGTGTGGGAAGCACACTCATCTTCCTAATTAAACTCAAAATTTCTAGGAGAATCTTTCTGAGCTGTCCTAGAGTTCACCAGTGGGAGCTGGGCATGGTGGCAGGCCTGCTATCCCAGTCTTTGGGAGGTGGTATCTGGATGCTCAGGAGTTTAGAGTCATCCTAAATTACACATCAAGTTTTGTAGTTAGTTGAGCTACATGAGACCCAGTCTCAAAAATAAAAACAAAAGGAAAAACCCAAACCAAAAACCAACCAAACAACCAAACAACCCCCTCAAAAAAAAAAAAAAAAAAAAAAAAA